CCAATGTAAAAGGCTTCAGTGGCTCCCTGCTATATAAGAGTATGACCAAGAATGTAGTCTCTGAATTCAGAAGACTTGATTTCAAGTCACAAAACAAATGTATTATTATGATTACAAGATAATTTCTGGCTTCTTAACATGAAGTCTAAAGTTTTCTGTGGACTTTGCCCATTTCTCTAGTCTCATTTCTTGCTTGTAGCTCCCTGTACCTTGGGTGCTAATTCTTCCCTCTGTGCCTTTGTTCATCCCTTTCTTCAGATCCTCCTCTGGTTTCTGCCTCCTTGGGTATGCATGTCCACTAGGATTCAGTTCAATGGTAACTTTCTCCCTGAAATTTCCCTAACTTTCCCCAACCCATACCTTCTGATTTGGTTCTGATACTTCTCTTTTGAGCCTCCATGATATCCTTTACTTATTGTTCTCACTACACTTACAGCATGTTGTTATAATCTTCTGTTCGTGTTTGTTTCTAGCATATACTAAGTTCCCTATGGGCAAGAAGTGGTTTTCAAATTTATCTTTTTATCACAATGCCTGGCACATAGAGGACATCCAGTAAATTGTGCTGAATGAATGACTTCTAACTTAACATTTGTAGCAATACCATCTGAAGACTTGAGTCCAGACATTTAAAACAAAACTGATCTTTCTTGCTATAAAACAAAGAGCCGTTTTCTGCTCCTTAAGACTAACTTGTTTCTGATAGGAATTACTCTCCCAGTCATCTGGGCTAGAAAGTTTTGTCAACCATGACAGGTTCTTTCCCCTCATATCAATAAATTGTTTTAAAAATATCATTATTAACTGAGATTTTAACATACTGGTTATTTTTTAATCCATTGTAATTTTGCATGTGTTTATTTATATGCATATATGTTAGCATTAGCTACTGTTGACATCACAATATTCAAGAATATTTTGGAATGATCACCTATCATCCTCTACGTTAACAGTTTTGCTTATTTCCTTTTATAAGCATAGTTGCATAGCTGCAATCCCAATGAACATAACCATTTTGGATCCTTCTGCACTTTTTTTCCTTTATTTTTAAATGAAGGCTTGGAATGAAGCCTCTTTTGGCTCCCTTGAGGGCACCACACTGCCCTGCAGGTTCCACATCATCAATATTTTCAGAGGCTGGCGGTGCATCTTTGAAGGGTGGCTTCTAAATAGGTAGATCCCCCGGTGCTGTTATGCGCTACTCAGCTTTGCTGTAGGTTTTATTTCCTTGAGGCACAACTGAGGACTTCATGTACCTTATCTTCTTCCCCTACTCTACCTTTTCGTTTTGGATAATTTCAAACTACAGAAAAGTTGAAAGAACAGAAGAATGAACCACTTGTATATACTTTACCTAGATTCACCAAACACTAACATTTTGCCGCACTTGCTTTATCTGGCTCTTGTTCTTGTGGGCATGTGCTCCCTCCATTTACTCATATATCCATGTTTTGTTTTCCTCAACCATTTGAAAGTAAATTGCAGATATCCTGACACTTCACCTCTAAATACGTCAGCATGTATCTCCTAGGATATGGATGTTTTCTTAAAATGCCACACCATTATGACTTTCAGGAAATTTATCATCAGTACAATATTACCTGATAATTAGTTGATATTCAGATGTTTCCACTTGTCCAGTAATATCCTTCAAAGTTTTTCTTCTTTTTTTAGGTCTAGGATCCAATCAAGGCTCACACATTGCTTTTAGTTTTCGGTCTCTTTGGTATCTTTTCATCTAAGAGAGTTACCCCCCAACTTTTCTTTTTCTCGTATATTTATATATTTGAAGAGCCCAAACCAGTTGTTTTGTTAAATGTCCAATAATTTAGATTTGTCTGATTGTTCATTATCATCATATTCATGTTAAACATATTTGGCAAGAATACAACATAAATAATGGATCTTAGTGCATCTCCTTCAGGAGGTCACTGCCTTTTTTGGGCACTGGGAGACCCTTAAAGATGGTTCCTGTGTCCTTTTGACGCTCCAGCAGTCTCTTATAGCTTTCTCACTTTGTGGTAAAACAAGATGTTCTGGGTTACTTTGGTATATTTCATGCCCACACCCACAGTCAGCTATTTCTCCAAGAAGTCGTTTGCTTTTACTATGAAATGATGTTAGAGACCATTAAGCTTTAGGGGTGCCTGTTGCCACTGAATTGGTCATTGTTTCTAGCCCTCTTCAGTGGGCAGAATTAGGAATTTTTTAAAAAAGAAAAATATATTTCATAATTCGAATATAAGATTCAAGGTTTCCACATATGTAATTTTATATTTTTCTATCTTATGATGAAAATACTAGTTTCTAATTTATATGAATATACAGTCAGGCCTCCACATCTCTGGATTCCAACTGAATCTGCAACATTGGTTGAATCCGCAGATGTGGAACCCATGGATCAGAAGGCTGACTAACGGACTTGAGCATCTATGGATTTTGGTGTGTGCAGAGCGTCCTGGAGAGATATATATACATTTCAAAATAATAATATCTGTATTATTACTAAAATATAACTTAAAATAGCTTAAGATTTCTTTGTGATTATTTTACTTGAGAATATATCCCAGAGTCAAATTACTATGCTTAAAGTTCATCTCAACTCTGTTCGCTTCCACTTTCACAGGTAACCATTTTTATTAGTTTTTGAATTATCTTTCTACTGATTTTCAAAATATAAGCAAATTCAAATAAACTCATGCCTCCCTTTTTTGGATAAAAGGTAACATGCTATAGACTATTCTGTACTTTGCTTTTTTCACTTAACAGTATATCCTGGAAATCACTACATAGCAGTACAGAGAGGTCTTTCTCGTTCTCTTTTACAGCTACATAGTACTCCATTGTGTAACTATGTTAGACATTTAGATTGGTAGTTTGCAATTAATATATGCTAATCTTTATATTAAAAAATATGTAATCTATCTAAGTATATACCCCCAAGGAATGAAAACAGGACTCAAACAGATAGTTGTATGCCAATGTTCACAGCAACATTATTTATAATAGTGAAAAGGTGGAAACAACTCAAGTGTCCATAAAGATGAATGGATAAACAAAAGGTATCATATACATACAATGGAATATTATTTGGCCATTAAAAAGGAATTAATATATATATATATACTACAACATGAAAACATCATGCTAAGTGAAATAAGCCAGACACAAAAGGGTAAATGTTGGATTCTACTTCTAAGAATGAATGCAGGTAGGCAAATTCATAGACAGAAAGTAGATAAGAGGTTTTCAAAGACTAGGGGGAGAATGGAGAGTTATTGCTTAATGGGTGGGGAGTGTCTGTTTGGGGTGATGAAAATATTTGGAAATAGTGGTGATGGTTGAACAATACTGTGAATGTAATGCCACTGAATTGTACACTTAAAAATAGTTAAAATGGTAAATTGTGTGTGATATATATTTACCACAATAAAGAAAAGTCATATATACCATATATATGTCTATGTAATTAGCAGTAAATCTCTTTAAAACATTGGGGTCAATAATGAAGTAGAAATTTGGAGAGACTACCCAAAGCAGAGTTTCTGGAGCAGTTAGAAAGAATTCCAGAGAACTGATTTTGGCCTGAAATGGGTCTCTAAGCTTAAACATTAAAAGGGTGCTTGAAACATCTATTATCTTTTGATCCTGATGTAACACGATAAAAATATTTTAAATCTGAATGTAACACTCTTCCATATCTTTTCTGAACACTATTATATTTTCCTGTATTTCATTAGTCAGCAAAACTAAGAAGTTAACATAGCTAATCATCTCTTGCTATTTATTTTCATTTTACAAAGGAAAGAGTGGGCTCAGAGAAGATGCCTTTCCCAAGGTCACACAGCTCAAGAGGACACAGGAGCTCTTTTGTGTCCCAGTGCAGTTCTTACTGAATTCATTAGTTATATAATTACTTAATGAGCATCTACTCTGTGCTAGGCACTTGGGATATAATAATGGACACAACAAATTTCATGTCCTTTCTCAAAGAGTTTATAGTGTAATAAAGGAGAAAACCGCACAATTATACTGTACTACAAGGTGGGTTAAGGTACAAAGGACTATGGGAACACTTTGGAGGGGCTGTTTGAAACAACATATACTATTCAGAAACATCTGATATCTCGTTCAGCTTATGCTTCTTTAACTGTGAGAGTAAAACCTAAGCTCTTCATCTTTGAAAACCTGCTGATTTTCAAAGACCTTAGCCTTTCACAGTCTCAAACCAGCCGCTTTATAGCTGTTATTTGCATTCTGTGGGTTGAAACTTATTCAGCTCTGGAAAGAACTGTTTCCCCAGCTGTGGAAACAGAGCTGCCATTTCTCCTTCACAGGCCTCCTGAAGTCCAGCACATAACAAAGTTCCTCATGCTTAGTAGGTGCAGTGTTCCCAAATCAAGCCCTCCTATTGAATTGAAGCAATTCTGCTTCTACTGCATTACTTTACCTACATATGGATTTGCTGGTGTTTCTGTGGCCTGGGCACTGGTACTATTACTTTAGGTTTTTATTTTCCTTTATTAACATGAACATATTCTCAAAAAAAGGGTAAACTGTTGAATTTTTTTGGTGAGGAAGATTAGCCCTGAGCTAATATCTGTGCCAATCTTCCTCTATTTTGTATGTGGGACTCTGCCACAGCATCACTTAATGAGCAGTGTGTAGGTCCAGGCCTGTGATCCAAACCCAGGGCCACCGAAGTGGAGTGTGCAAACTTAACCACACAGCCACTGGGCCAGCCCCAGTAAACTTTAAATTTTTGCTCTAAAACATGGTATCTCAACTTCCATATCTAGAACTTTTATGAGAAGCACACATGATCCTCTGTAATGTTTTCTTAAGGGTGATATAGATCAAACATGTTGACATGTAGCTCCCTATAGTAAGATATGTTTGCAATATTTTGTAAAGTATGGAAGTTTTTAATGGTTTTAGGATCTTATTGGTATCATTCTTCAAGGGCAATTAAATATTTATTATTTTATTCTAATTTTCAGGTAAAGAAGATACTCCCTCATTACTTGGTCTCTGTGGGTCTCTAACATCAGTGGCAAGTTACAAATCTCTAACAAGTCTAAAATCTAATGACTACCTTGCAAGTCCTACAACAGAGATGACAAGTCCGGGCCTAACTCCATCCTGAAAAATTTTATGTTTTTACATTGCTAATGTTCGCCTTACGTAATTTTGCTGGGAAAACCTTTGGAATTTCATATTGTTCTAGCACATGTCTAGAATTCTGTTGCTTATATTAGAGAATTCAATCTACTCCATGTAAACTTCTGAGTTAAAAAAATGATCCTGCCATTTTTCATTGTATTTGTCACTGAGAAAGTTTAAAAATGTATAGGCTTAAATAATGTACAACTGAAATTTCATAATGTTATAAACTCTTATGACCTCAATAAAAACAAAAGAACAGGCTTAAAAAGCTTTCAAACATCCTCTAAATTAATAATCCACTGCAAATGGTACATATTTATTATTCAGCTGATTTTCATATATTTAGATGTATCATAATTGCCAAAGACTTAGTTCAAGGTTTTATTCCAGAGACGTAAGCTAAGTATTTTCTTTCTCTCTTTTATTCAGTGATTAAATTTTATAAAAATGATTTATTAATTTTAATTTCTTCCTAGGTTCCAATGTTTAAATGCCTGTTTTAATATGAGGAGAAGGCTCTCAGCTACAGTTTCATGGCGGCTTATTCTGTTTCTTTAACAGTTATAATTTGATATCAACTTAACATTCCACTTAACATTTTATACATTTTGTAGGAATGTGCCTTTAGGCAGTTACTAAATTTGTTAAGGTCATAGGGAAAGTATTTTACAGTATTTTAGGCCATTTAAGTAAAATGAATAAATTCCTTATCTTTTTTCCCCCAAGATTTTCTTAAAAGGTTATCAACTAAAAAATAAGAGCAAATATGCGTCAAAAGTTGGAAACATTTAAAAAGTAGAACAGATGTTGAAACAGTATTTCATCAGGTTCAATTAAAGATTTGAGAAGCTTTTAAATAAGCATCAGCAGGATAATCACCATATTGAACAATATGTCTGACATACAGTGCTGTTTTTCTCTCCCTGTTGTGCAACAATGAATTGTCTTGAATGTTTTACAGTTTCTATCAGTAATCATGCCATAATCTCATTTTAAAATTGATGCTAAAAATCCGTACACTTCTACAGGTAAAAAATTAGTTTTCTGTGTAAAAAAAGCTATGAGCTGTATACATTTCGTCCCTAAAAATTCCACCATATTGAAAGAGAAAATATGTGAAGTATATTTTCTATAATAATATGAGGAAAACAGGATCAATTGTGCCAAAGAAGTTTTATATATTGTTTACATGAAGAGGCTACAATACTTATTGGGGACTTCATATGCTATTTTTGTTTATAAATAAAACAAACATTACATTCAAACTTAGGAGCTTTCACATATAGGAATACTGTTCCTCCTAAAGTAATTTACTGAGAGGAGGCAAGAAACACTGAATTTATCACGTTCATTCTTTGTATTAGAAATGCAGGAGTATGGTGGTTCTCTGCAATTTTTAGAGCTTTACTCTCATAATTTGGAATTTAAGATAATAAATAATAACAAGGCTAGACATAACTTGGAATTTAAGATAATAAATAGTAACAAGACATGCAAATAAACCCTGTCACTTCAGGGACAAAGGAGGCCTGGAGGCCCTTAAAATAAGTTATCTTAGCTGTACCAGAACATACTCAGAGCTTTATCCTTTAGCTTAAGGCTTTAGTACTCATAGAAATGCAAATATTCTTGAGAAATGGTACCATGAATCTACTCTTAATTCTGTATACCTTATTGTGAGGTATCAAAAGCAATTTTTAACCAGCATGGGGGATGGAAGGAAGGTATAAAATGAGGACACTGGAAACCTTGGGAGGAGGGAGTGAGAAATGGTTAATGAGGGGAACTGCAAACATTTTCAGCTGGCCATAAGCACTGCTGCTTTCCTAAGAACTATCAGAATGGTTAAATGCTTTACCATTCCTGGTCCACTCTCAACTAACATTATGCTTCCATAGTTTAAAAAAATATCATTGTTAAATTTTTTCCATACATTTTTTTTTTTTTAAGATTTTATTTTTCCTTTTTCTCCCAAAGCCCCCTGATACATAGTTGTGTATTTTTAGTTCTGGGTCCTTCTAGTTGTGGTATGTGGGACGCCACCTCAGCATGGCCTGATGAGCAGTGCCATGTCTGGGCCCAGAATTCAAACCGGCAAAACCCTGGGCCACTGAAGCAGAGCGCATGAACTTAACCACTCGGCCACGGGGCCAGCCCCCTCCATACATTTTTATAATATAGAAAGGAAATTCAAGATTCTGTAACTGATAAAATTTTTCAGATTTGTCTGATGTATATGGTAACTTGTGCATCTTAACATGCTGCTAAATGCAGATTCAAACATGACATCTGAGGATCAAGACTTTTCCTCCTTTCTTGGAGCTCTTGGTATAAAATTCATCTCCTAATGTGAATTCAGGTTTCTACACAGTTCATCTCACACTAGTTATAGAGGTAGTTAATGTTTGCATGAGGAAACAATGTATGTCTCAGTCTTTAATTTTAGGTGGTAGTGTCTATTGTTCACACACTCTCCCCAAAATAGAATGCTGAATGCTATGCTAATATTTCCACATGTGTTTTGTTGCCTTGATGTACTATACTTGTTGCATGTGTATTAAACATTTTGTACCATGCATTAGTGGTCTTTTTCCTTGACAAAAAGTTACTTGATTCAGGTTGTACACTGAACTGTTGTTTCAGCAAATGTGATAAATGTATGTTACTTAACGCTTAAGATAGTAACATGAAAATGGTTTTGAAGAAATCCTTATTTCAACTCGTATCAGATTACATTTTTTTTGTTTGAGGAAGATTAGCTCTGAGCTAACATCTGTTGCCAAGCTTCCTCTTTATTTGCTTGGCGAAGATTAGTCCTGAGCTAACATCTGTGCCAGTCTTCCTCTATTTTCTATGTGGGTCACCACCACAGCATGGCTTGGCAAGTGGTGTAGGTCCATGCCTGGGATCCAAACTGGTGAACCCAGACCACCGAAGCGTGGCACACAGAACTTTAACCACTCGGGCCTGGCCCCAAATACTTTTTATTTTTTAAAAACATAACATTTTAGAATATACAACATTTGTTGAAGTGGTACAGTACAGTAGTGGTTCTGGCAGTGTTGCTGATTTAATTATATAATAGCTATATTTGTTTCTCACCTATAAAATGGAAACATCATCATCTTCTCAGAACCTCTGTGATGGCATCAGGATGATGTCAGCGTTAAATGAAATCATACATATAAGTTCCTAAAAGGTAAATGCTAATGCAAGCTGCAATTGTGATTGACAGAAGCCTTAAAATTGAAAATAAACTGAGTCAGTTTTTATTTATTTTTAAAATATTTACATACAAGTTTTCAAGTGGTTAAAAATGTCTCAAATTGATAACTTCTGGAAATGCTTTGTTAAAGTTCCTATCATTAAGCAAAATATCCAGTTTTGATAAACTAATACACTGGATTACCTCTGAAATGTCACATGACTGCTTTGAACATCAGCGCTCTTAAATTTGTTTTAATTAGTTCACTCTGCTCTTCTCTAAGGAAAGCAGCTTCTATTTATCTTTAGCATATGTTCTTAAAAACTGGTAGGAAGCGGAAGATAAAATTATATTAATGTCACTATAGTACCTTTTAAAAGCATGTTTTAGTCCAAACCAAAACTTTTATATTGTTTTTAAATAGGTTATCTTATTAAGTCCTATTTTCCATACTGCCAATTATTTTTCTAAAACACAACTAAAACCAAAGTTTCACTACATGTTGGCCTACTACATGTAACACTTTCTGGTATTTTCTGTTCTATGATGTGCTAAAGTATGCTATTCTATTTTCTTTTGTTGAAAAACAAAAACTCCAACTCTACAATTATTAGAGATGTGCCAAAAATACTTCCTTGGTTTCCTGTTTCCTTCTTGTTCCTCCTTTGGCACACAAGGCCTCTGACTACATTTCCAATCTGATCTCCTATCACATTGCTATGTATACCTTTTGCTCAAGCCACTGGGACTAAATTCCACTGCCTGATTAAGACTCCCATCTTCAGGTGTGCTGAACTGGATCAGCTGCCCTAATCTCAGAAGCATTTCCTAACTCCTCCTCCTTTGCCCCTAGGCTGAGTGGACAATTCCTCACCTTTCCCGTTACTCCCTATGCATTCTTCTATCAATCATAGCTCTGAAACCTCCTTGAGGCCAGTGAGAGTATCTGAAACGTCTTCTTGTCTCTGGTACGTTTTATACTGCCTACCACATAAAAGGCCTCACTAAGTGTTAAATGATAGAGTAAAATATAAGCACAGGAATTTATTTAGAAAGTTTGTTTTGGAAAAAAATTCAAAAGTGACACACTATTTCTCACATCCCTAGAATTTCCACCCCAGAAAAAGAGAGGTAAGAATTTAAAGGAGTCATATGGTTAAATAAAAATAATGAATAGTTTTCCTAGAAAAATTTATCTTAACTCCATGTCTACTTCTTTAAAACATCAAATGTGTATTGTACAAAAGGTAGCAAACATGTAATATTTGAATAAAACATTTCTTCTTAAAAACTTTACACATGAGAAATTAAATGCGTATGTTAGAAAAATTTAACATTAACAGAAGGAAACCATTTCCTTTAAGAAACATTTCCAAGAACACGATTTCTGACCAAACCCTTTTTGGTTGCTACTATTTATTTTTTAATTTAACAATAATATTAATACTTCTTTACCACTTAAGTGTAGAGAAAGCTTCAACTCAGCCTTCTTTTCATCCAGATACACTGCATGTAATTTGTGTTTGAAAAACTACTGGGAAGTTAGATTTCTTTATTTTAGTCATAAATAAGAATTTTCCACAAGGGCAGCAGTACTGGTGAGCAGGAGGGATGGAAATTTCCCTTCTGTTATTTATAAGTGATATTAGGTTGAAATATTGTGACTGCTTTTTGAGAGCATGGTTCTAAATCTAAATTTTTCTGCCTTTTTCTAACAATCAGTTATCAAAAAGAAGCATAGCAGAACCAAGGTAAATTTAAATTTAATATTGTTAAACAGTGTTCAAGATAAACTTTCCTCTATATTTTATATATATATACACACAGTACAGCATTAACAATTATTTTATATGAAAATATTTAGCTAGAAGCACAGTGATAATTTTATGAAAGTATAAAATATTTTAATGAACATAGTTAAAGTCAAATATATTTTCATGGATATGTATGTTGCAAATTTAAGGTAAATCAACACAAGATAAACTAAACACAAAAGGTTACATATAAACCTTATATAGTTTATTTCTGGTGACACATAGAAACACTTTGCTACTATAATACAAAACACATCAATTTCTCTACCCACACTAGAGAAGATTTGTCACCTAAATATATTACTCTATTTTAGGGGGAAAAAGGCTTCACATCTTCATAAAATACACATAGCCTGCAATAAAGTGCTTTTCCTTACAAGATATAGATCCTGAGAAAATCAAATATAAAAAAAGAATATCATTTCTTGTCCTGCCATCATATCCTTTTTATTTCATTCCTACAGCCATAAGCTAAATTACCTATCTGTTGGTCTACAGTGACTGAAAGCTTTTTCTTTAAGGAAACTGCTGCCTGTTTAGCCTCTTGGTCTAGCGTGCTAACGTGAGATGAGAACTCCACCAACAGTGATACTTGAATTACCAGGCGGCTGAGACCAGAGGGCCTTCCTATGCTGAAACACTATTTTCACTAGTCTGAAAACAATGTGGTTGTCCACTGCGTACCCAAGTTTGACTAAAGCGAACATTTAATACAATAAGTAAAAACTCCCTCTCTCCTCTTGCAGAAACAGCAGATAATACAGGGTTTTTAGTCATCAAAAATAGCAGCATCTACATCACACAAATGATTTTTTGGTTCATAAAGATAAAACAGACATACCTTTGATCGGAGAAATCCTAATACATGTGAGACCTTAAAATATGGGTTTAAAAAAAAAACCTATGCATTTGAATTAAAGAAAACTAATAGGTAATATTTGATAAATGTGAATAATGTTATTTAAAGACTGCCTTCTATTATCCACTTTGCTGAAACAACTTAAATATTTATGTACACGATTTAAATGTGTATGAGACTTGGGCATTTTTCTTGTAGATTCTGTACATCACTCAGCACACAATTCAAAACGTTCTGATGGATCTGACATACTCCCACACTGAGATTAACTTACACTGAAACCCACAGTATCAAACTCTCAGAGATTACTGCTTTAAGTGCTAAGGAATAATTTTTCTTTTCTTTATAAGAAAGCTCAATGGTTGTGATTTCTGGAGTATTAGGATAAAAGTTAAGACACCAAAATTTACTTTAAAATTAGGACTGTGATTTAGAAGTAAAGTAGAAATTGCTATTCAAATTATACGAAAGAAAGATGCAAAATTATTGTAAGATAATGGTGAAAAAAGTTCTTGCCTAAGAGTCTCCAACTTATTTGGCTGTGGCTGTTATTTCAAGTTGAAACAGCATTACTAGTTTTGCTGTCTTCGAGCATTTTGTTTCTGGAAAAAAGCTTTTCCAAATTCATAGGTACTGATCATAACAGCACAAGCAGGAGCAATTTTAATTAAACGGGGAATTAGGCCTGAAAGAAAATAGAAAAAAAAAATCAGAACAAATTTTACTTTATTTTAAAAACTGTAATTTATTTGGTTTCATTCTGATAATGATCAAATTAAATGAAGTGATGTGTCAAATACTGTGCCATAAACTGGTGTCAAAGAACAAGCCAAACTGCTCACTCACAACCTCCTCATTTTAATTCCATGTTAATTCATACAAAAATTTTATCTTATTGATAGTAAATTTGTATTATTTAACATTTTTTAAGTTATAGCAAAGATATTTAGGAGGAAATAGTAAACATGGAATGTTTTCAATCATTTTCTGCTGAAATTTAATTTAGGAAGGTGACAGATTTAAAAGTAAAAGTAATCATTTTATTCAATGATTTGGTAAAGCAAATATTTTTACCTGTAAATAATCCAGAAAATCCACTCTCAGCAACAATGTTCTTCATTATAGCCCAGGTTGACATACGCAAAGGCGTAGAAACTAAATGTTAAAGAAATGATACTATTATAAATTACCACTTAATAATTTCAAATACACATAAAATAGTGTTTATGGCCTTTGGAGGTATATGATTCATTATAAGAACAGATCTTTTTACCTAAAGAGCTATTTTAAATCTTCTTTTTAATAGTTGGATTCATTAAAAAGAAAAATTAGACAAAAGCTGTAACTTTAAAGGTATATAAGACTGGATGCCTCTCCTGAATTGATGATGTTTGTTTATTAAGCTTGGTGGCAGGTATCCTTTATACTTTTTTCTGCAACTTAAAAATCTTTCATTATGAAAATTTTTTTTTTCTTTTTTTTTGAGGAAGATTAGCCCTGAGCTAACTACTGCCAATGCTCCTCTTTTTGCTGAGGAAGACCGGCCCTGAGCTAACATCCGTGCCCATCTTGCTCTACTTCATATGTGGGACGCCTACCACAGTATGGCTTTTGCCAAGCGGTGCCATGTCCACACCTGGGATCCAAACCGGCGAACCCCAGGCTGCCAAGAAGCAGAGCGTGTGAACTTAACCGCTGCGCCACCAGGCTGGCCCCTCATTATGAAATTTTTAAATTTAGAATTTTTTAAATAGAAATCTTCATGAGATTCCCAAAGCCATAGAGGGGCCTTGATAACCATTTTTCCTTAAATTTTTATTGCACACAATTAAAAAAAACAATCTTTCCTTCCTAAAAAGAGGTTCTGAGGAAAATAGCCCATTCTCCCTAGTGTAGTCCTGCATTATTAAAATCTTTCTGAACAGATATACCTGTCTTGAAATAAATTAGATCAGTCCAGTCTCCTCCAAAGGGCAGATTTATCCTTTAACTAACATCTCACTTATTTGCAACCACTGAAATATCTGGGACACAGTAAAAAACAGATTGATATATTTTTTAACAACAGGAAGAACAGACATCACTGAAACTCAAACATAAAGCTTAGGAATGAGCTGTTCATATACAAGTTCACTTACCTTTCTTTTACACAATGATTCTAGGCAGCTGGCTTAGCCCACAGACTACTAAGTAAGAAAGTCTGCCAAGAAGCAGGAATACTTAGTAATGAACATGTGAACACTGACAGCTGACATGCTGAAGATTTCAAAGTCCAGGTGTGAGCCAGCTGGATAATGGGCAAACACTCCTATATGACCCTCACCAGCTGCTAAGAGCTGCATTATAAAACTACAGTAATCAATGTGAACTCTGAGTCACTAAGAAAGATTAAGTATTATTAAGCATGCCCTGGAAAAAAGGGAAAGATTAGAGAAAGATATCCTTCAAAAATAGCTTTTTAGAATTTTACTACTTAAAGGAGTGGAGCTCATTACCTCAAGTTTCATTGATGTAAAATATCAGATTTACTATAAAGATAAGTGAGGTCTTGTGATTTAAGAAGCTATACTATCAATATAAATAGTATAGGTATAAATATAACTAGCAACCCAACAGAGAGGACATTTTAAAACCAAGAACAAAGTATTTATGAATGTAGTTTAACTTTCTAAAGAAAGTTAATGACAAAACTTTATACTAAAAATTAGCTACTTTTACTTCATGTTTAAATTATTTTATTTAAATGTGGGAAACAACTGGTGAAAGAAAGGAGGCCAAATAGCCATGTATTTCTACTCTTGTAGAACTCAAGCCCCCACTGGTCTCGATTTTAACAGCAGGGTGAAATTAACATAAATGAATTGGCAGAGTGAGTTATCGACTGAAGGCACCACGGCAGCGCTCCAACGGAGCATCAGAAGTATCTCTTGCCTAAAGTTCCAACATTAAACAGCTATTCCTACGTGTGATGAGCAACCTCTTACACTGTAAGGAAACACTGATTATTAAATATTTCAAGCACAGACAACAATAAGATAAACACTTATTTAATGACCATGCAAATTTATCCTAATGTGCTTCTGTTGGAATATACAGACAAAGGGAGCAGAATGGAAGTCCTTAAAGAGCCCATACTCTAGTGGAGGAGAAGCATGTTAGGATATAGTAAGTGCCACATCCTGTAACAGAGGTAACTTGCCTCATTTATGAATGTATCGTTTGTATTTAATTTTTGAAAATTTAACCTCTGGTTCCAGGTTTTTAAACCTGGCTCAGATCCACCTGTTTTCCACAGGTTAAACTTCTTTTTTTCTGAACATTTTTATTTAAAATACTTCAAAAGAAATTTAAAAATCATTTAAAAAAATGGTTGTACGGGGCAACAGAAATTAAAAAATGGTTATATATTTTATAGAGTAGGCACTCAGTCAGCAGTCAAGTAACGGATGAAGGGTGGGAGAAGTGGTCTAAGGGCACTGATGTCAAAGATCATATTCTTGCACGGAACTGACCATCATTCTACGTGTAACACTTCATATTTTCTTTTTTGCTTAGAGATAAGGGATTGGTATAGCTGAGCTATGGAATGGAGGAAGCCACTTCTAAAGGGAGCTGATTTACTTCTTTGATGGGGATAAATAATATATAATAAAAATAATAAACATTTTGGGCTGTTTATCACTCAAATGAGAAGTGCAGTTTGCAGTAGAAACATATCTTGCTAAATATAATTGGTTCATACCTGAAACAGAGTAACAGGTAAAAGTGACCAAAGATAATCATGGGAAATTAAGACCTAAGGTTTATTTAAGGTTTCTCCTTTTGGGTTTAAATGGAGAAACATTAATTACAAAAAAAAGCAGTGATAGTTAAAGAGTTTAGTGAATGAAGATGCCTCCCTGGTGCCAGTCTCAACGAGCATGGACAATCACAGTCACCTAGGGAACATTTTCAAAATACACAAGCTTGGGCCCCACCTTAGATCTACTAAATGAAGCCCACTGGGGGTGGTGCCCAGCTTCAGGTGTAGTGAAAACACACCCTAAGTGACTCCAGAGATTATTTACCTAGGTTAAGTGGCTCTCAAACTTCAGCGTGCATCAGGATCTACCTGTAGAGACTGATTCCCATCTTCTCCCTCTTTGTTACCATGACCAGGAATATTATGATCACCACCACCACTTCACTGCCATAGTCATCAATCATTTAAGATAAAGTGCACCTAAGAGAATATTCCTAGTATATTAAATAGTTCACTTGACAGAGGAAACAGGACTTCTGACGAGTTGGAAGGAAGAATGAAACAAAGTAATTTTGAACTATCAAGGGAGAACAGATAGGGCTTAGGCAGCTAGAAGGCTCACACATAAAACAGGGAAGTGGAAGACCCCTGATAAACTTTGACTGCCTCCCAGGTTTTAGTTAGTTTCTAATAGTAGAAGGGAGTACAACTTTGGTAAGTCAAGGACAAAGCTGTCCCCGATATTCATCAGATTCATTTTCAGAGGTCTGTAATCAATGTTTCTTTCAACATTAGAAAACTTATTTTACTTTGTATGCAAAATGTTACTCTGGTGGGTTAGAACAATTTACATTATAATAGGCTTATTACAAGGCTTACATGACACAATTTTGTAATGGATAATTTCCAATGGGTCTGTTACATTTTCTATAGATAATAAATAATTAGAAGGGATCTAGTGGAAGCAAATAAGAGTACACTTCTGTTCTAAAAGAAATTACAAGTTATAAAGAAGTAAAAATAGATGAGATAGAAAAACACATCAAAAGAAGGGAAGCTAAAAAATAAACAGTGAAAAAAACATAAAATGTTTACGCAGACTAATGAAACAAAACACATCAAGAGAAAAAGGTTTCCCAGTAATTTCCTATCCTTCACTGTGATCTCTCTAGATCTATTTGAAAGAATACTTACATAATTTAATCTTCTACATAGCAGGCATGAGACAACTGATGGCAGACAAAATACATAGATGTTTAAGATGTCTTAAAGTTTTTGTTTGGGTTAGAGTATTTTTTTCTGGGTATTCCATTCGAAATGCACATTAGTTTCAGTTAAAGAGTAAGGCAGCAGAGGGGAAAAAAACTTGTATTCCCTATTTTAGATATTCCTCACTTAGTATCTGGAAAGAAAAACAAAAATTTTCATGGCATCTGGAAAATGTTTTAAATTAATTAAACTTACTTTTATGACTTTCATGTATCCAAAGTTGTGTCTGCTTTTGTGTTTTTACCACATCAAATGGCAAAGTTGCAACAGCTGCCAACTAACAAAAAGTAAAATTGATTAACTTAAATCTCCTTTAAAATTTTTCTTAAAATATTTTTACATTCTTCTAATTAGCACATTACTTAATACGGATAATAATGGAAATCATAACTAAACTGAAACTCAAAATAAAACCAGATATATTTAAAGACAAGCTTCTATTAAAGAAAATAGAGACATGTCTTATGTGTTTCTTCCAGAATTCCAGAGTAAGTAAATAGTGTCAGAAAAGTTCCCCTACTTTCCTGAGCTTACACACAACTACTAGGGGCAGAGTCAGAGTTCCAACCAGACCTCTCTGACTCCAAAACCAGTCTTTGCAATTCTAATGTTTCTATGTGTTCCAGTATTACTTTACTACACATGAAGGTATAATGCATATTTTAAAGCAGAAATTCTCAAGTATCTAGTAAGCATTTAAAATTTTCCAACAAATGTTTTAGAAATAAATAGAATAAAAAATTAAATTTAAAAAAAGAAAATGGACTTTGAACTTTTAAGTTCTATATATCTTTTCTTTGTGGGTTTCAACATATTTATCAAATATAGTTACAATAGTTCACAATCACATTTTAAAAACCTTAACTCAAAATGAATCAACTTAAAGACCATTTTCATAATGCCCCAATTAAACAGTAAGGTTTTTAAAAAGAATAATTAAATTCCCTTAAGAATGTGTCCTAATATTTGATACAACAACGATGCAAAGTAAAAACCTGGTCTCTATTTTTTGCTTCCCAACTCACATTTGGCCAATATGCTCATAAAATGTCCCTTAAAATCACTTATATTTTATTTCACCTTGGCAATGTTAATTTAAGTTCTTAAAATGAAATCAGTTTCAAAGATCTAAGGGCAGATCTCCACAATCTAGCATGCAGTAGCTAAAGGTGGCAACAATGTTATACAAGCCTCTGACACTTTCTAAAATGATAGGGTTTAGGATATTCTGTTTTCTGACAGAATGCCTGGACACTGTCACACTGATGTGCTTTTTCTGTTGCAGAGACAAATTTTTATTTGAAAACAGCTAAAAGGCAGCAAAATTTTCTAGATCATTAAAAAAAATTTAAATAAATTTTCTGTGTTAAGCAGAAGTAGCAAAATAGAGAACTTTCCTTCATATTACTGGAAAGCTGATACAACATCCTGAAGCCATTATTCATCTTTTTTTTTTTTTTTTGGTATTAAGCAGTTATTTGTAAGTATGGAATTAGTTCTGTACTTCCAACTATTATTAATTTCTAAATATAAATAGTCCTTGTTTTTCTTCATGCTGGACTAAGATATAAATTAAATACAATTAGGTTACATTTAATCCCCTCACAAATAAGAGGAATAATAAAAAGATATTGTAACTATTTAAATTGCTAAAAAAGTAATTGCACTTTTGCCTCAATAGGTTTATTACCCACTAGGCTTAATCTGGCAAATCTCAGACCTAGGAATATTCATATTTAGGTTTTGAACTCAATCACAGTGGCTTCTTAGCCTAGGTTTTCTGATACAATTATTCTAGTATTTTTCTGTGGATCTCCGTCACTTCACTATGCTCCTTCACTCTTGTTTTCATTTGGTTCCAGTATGTCAGCACCTTACTCTAAGTCATCATAAATTCATTTTATAAGTATGTGGGCATGAGAAAACTCTTTGTGGCCAAGATCATAGTGGTATGAATCTGCATAAAGGAAGTCCACTACACAACTTTTCATCATGTGGATGAGTGGGAAAAGGTGAACTCTCTACTACCCAAAAATAGTCATTGGAGATTCCTCTCTTCTAACTGTAATTCTTGTTAAAATTCTTTTAAGAAGTACTCGGCCAAAATGTTCCCAAAGAAATAGGAATTAGCAGCAGAGGATGAAATTACTCCTATTCGATCCGATTATACATATGAGACGATACTCCATGAAATGTTACCTAACCAGATCTACTGACATTTAATGAACAGATTGCCAAATATTTTGTAAATAATAAAGGACTATTTAAATTATTATCATTATCATAACTGTACTGATCTAACAAATCCAAAAGTTTTTCAGAAAAATATAATAATGTACTTGCAGTATAATAAAAACATAGACATAAAGTGAATTTTAAATTACTTTAATGGCTAATGATTTATTTCCTCAAAATAGGATAGTAAATACTTAGAAAATTTTTAAAGCAGTGCAGCCCAAAAGTCCTATCTCAAGAGACATGAAATGCTATATAATATTTTTTTCTGTTTTAATAAGACAATTCTTGTTATTCTAGAATATAAACAACAAACGAATAAACTTACAGAACCAGACAATGCCCCTGAAGTAAAGTTGATCATAAATGTTGGTTCATACAAACCAGATTTCACACAAAACCATTTCTTTAAAACTTCATAGTTATACCAGTACATTGCTAAAAAACAGAATGAAATGAACACATATTTAGAAATGGCATGTGGACTTTAAAGAAAATACTTATGAGGTTATATATTAGGAAAAGAGAAATTCTAACCTTGGCATTCCCTGCTTTCTGCTTAGACACACACTGTATTGTTAGTGCCATCCAGTCAAATCTGACTCCCAATGACCCTGTATACAGCAGAGTGGAACCATACCCGGTCTTTTTGCTCAATCCTCTCATCTTCTGGCGCTACATCAGACAATGCTCTCTGCTGCTGTTCATGGGGTTTTCATGGCCTATTTTTTTGGAAGTGGGTGACCAGGTCCTTCTTCCTAGTCTGTCTTAGTCTGGAAGCTCCAGGAAATCTGTCCACCATGCGTGACCCTGCTGGTATTTGAAATACCAGTAGCATAGCTTTCAACGTCACAGCAACATGCAGCCACCAGTGTGACAACCAACAGATGGGTGCTGTGGTCCCCTAACTGAGAAACGAACCTGGGCCGTGACAGTCAAAGCACTGAATCTTAATCACTAGACCACCAGGGTTGGTTAAGACACATACTAGGTGAGATTTAAAAAAAAAAAAAAAGAACCAATTTCTAAATAATATTACAGCAGTCTTACAAACAAACAAATAAAAGTACATATCAGCAAAGTAGGACTTTAACTCCAAAACCTGACAAGGACACTAAGGAAAAGTACAGGCCAATTTCATTCATGAACATAGGTGTAAAACTCCTAAAAAAATAAAATAATGGTAAGACATTGAAGCCAGAAGTATTTCATGAGAGAGTATACATTATAACTAAATCATGTTATCCAAGGGATGCAAAAGTAGTAAATAAAAACGCTTTACATGCCATATACCACATTAAGAGAACAATGAAATCATCTAAAAATGATGGAAAAGCATTTCGTAAAATTCCACACACTTTCATTTAAAGCAAACAAAGAAATTTCTTGGAAACTTAGGGATAAAAGAGAACTTCTTTAATTTGATAAAGGATATGCATCAAGAACCTAGAGCAAAAATAATCATTAATGGTGAAACAACAGAACTACTTCCTCTAGAATGAGGAAAATGATAGAGATGCAACATTATCATTGCTACTATTCCAAACTGTAGTAGGCAGCACAGTACGATAGAAAAAAAAATAAAAGCTACTATGATTAAAAATGAAGAAACAAAGTAGTCATAATTTATAAATTATTGTCTACATAGAACTCAAAAGACAGGCAAATTAGAATTTATAGTAGAGTTCTAAAAGTAGCTGAATGTAACCTAAAATTAATTGCAACACTGCACCAGCTGCAAATATTTAGAAAACTTTTTTTTTAATAGAGCTTTTAAAATAGCTACCAAAAGTTGGGGGTGAGTGGGTATACCTACAAATAAATCTCAAGAAAAAACTATTGTATATAACCTTTATGAAGAAAATTTTAAATCTCTACTAAAACACTTTAAAGAAGAGTTAAATGACAAAGAGATATATTCCTAGGGGAAAAAAATAAGGTAGCATCAAGATTTTTTATAATGCACTAGTAATTTAGACAATACTGTGGTATTAGCACAGGGTCAGACAAAGTGTGCAGTGAAATAGACCCATGTATATATGACATTTGCTGTGACATGCGAATCCCTGGAGCAAGTAGGATTATTCCATGAGTGATGCTGGTACAACTATCTGTCCATGTGAGAGGAAAATAAAACTCAATACTTATTTCAGTCCATAACCCCACATCAATTATGGGTAAATGAATGGCCAATGAAACAGTGCCCAACCTCATTAATAATCAGGGAATGTAAGTTAAAAGTGAGATACCACTTTAATTTACTAGAAAAACAAAAATTAAGAACTTTGACAATAAAAGTGCTGGTGAGGGTATGAAATGAAGCAGAAGGAAGCTGGTAGGTGTGTAGATCTGCACAATCACTTTAGAAAAGAGTTTGATATCACCTAATAAAATTTAAAATATATATATTTATATGAACTAGCAAATCGAACACTGGAGAAATTCTTGTACATGTAAACCAAGAGATTATTAAAAAATGTTCACAGCAGCATTGTTTACTTTTTACTTCACACATAAACAAGAGTAAAAATGAAGAAAACAGTTACACATAAAAAGAAGAATGAGGGCCGGCCTGGTGGCGCAGCAGTTAAGTTCACACGTTCTGCTTCTCAGCGCCCCAGGGTTCACCAGTTCGGATCCCGGGTGCGGACATGGCACCGCTTGGCACGCCATGCTGTGGTAGGCGTCCCACGTATAAAGTAGAGGGCCAGTCTTCCTCAGCAAAAAGAGGAGGACTGGCAGCAGATGTTAGCTCAGGGCTAATCTTCCTCAAAAAAAAAATAACCAGTGAAGATGAATATATGCGGTTTCATGATTTAAAAAACTGCAATGTTCTAGCTCATATTTTGAAGTGGTGACTTCACAGGTATTCATTTTATTAGTATACTTCATAATTTATATCTATATTACTTTTTATCAAATATTATATAATAAAAAATGAAAAATAATAGGCCTAGGAATCTATGATGTTTCTAAACAGCATAACTGAACATAAAAGGTTGAAGAAAAATACTAACGGAAAGGGAAAGATGCATAGAGAGGTGAGTGAGAGAGCCCAAGAAAAGGATTAACTCAAAGGGAACAAGAAAAAAAGAGGAAGATTAATACGAGGTCTCAGTAATTATTTCTTTCAGGTCTTAAATGGAACCTTCTGTGATCCACAAGAGAAGTACTACTGAAGTATTCACATTTCACAAGTTACTTGTTAGTTGTGTACTTTTCATGATGTTCTCCCTTTTCATAGTTCAATGATTAGCACAATCTCCTATTTGATTTATAACAGTCTTTTACAGGACACTCATTTAATGGGAGAGAATTTCATCTTTAATAATTGAAAAATGTAGGAGTCAATATAATTCACAGGTGGTTTTAAATGTACTTTATAATATTTTGATTTATAGTAGTTTATTTACCTTACTATTATGATTTATTTAGAATAATGTTAAAGGTAGTTTGCATTATCTAAATATGAATACAATATTTACCACTTAATGTTTAAAAATAAATCAAACACAAGGAGAAAAGAACACCAGGCTTGAATTAGAAACTATTCATTCAATAAAGGCTCATGAAGATTTGGAGAGCCCAACACTGAACTAGGAGTTTGTGGTCACTAAAGAAGATAACTTACCTTTAGCTTTGAAGGGTTTGAAATTTAGTTGATTTAAAAGTAACATATAAATAATACAAAGCTACTTAAAATTTAGAATTTAGTAGTCAGGTAAATCCTACCTGAGAATGGTACATCTCTAAGAACAGTAGGAGCCCAGCCCCTCCAAAGGGAAATCCAACCATCTTCAGATACTTTCTTGCTGACAAATCGATGCAGTTCCTTGTAAGAAAACTTCTTAGATTGCATCTTGGTTCTAATCAGTTCTAATGGACTTATCACAGTTACTGCACCAACTAATACAAACAGGCAAATATAACAAAAACAAAGCCATGTACTATGCTTACACACGTGCAAAAATTAATATGTCATGCATTTTTATATTTTAAACATTTATTCTGAAATGTCTGAAAACCTTAAAATCAAATACCTACTCATGCCAACATATCAATGCAGATGTTTTTCTTGGTAAAGGTATTTCTCAAAAGTCTGTTTTCATATACCTTACTTCTTCTGGTTGCAAGTCTTTTACAAGCAGTTCCAGATATACTATACGTCAACTAGGTCTACCGTAAAACCTCTCTCCCACTGCACAGAGAAAAATGTCTTTCTGCATAGAGGCAAATTCCCTTCGGATTAAACTGAATCTCAAAGTCTATAAGAAAAATGACTCAGGACTTTGGCATCAATCTGATATCCTAAAATCTAAAGCCTAAAATCTCAAATCTCTAAGATTCAGCTGATCCCATCTCATTCTGACAGCAATCGTCCGACCATATGGCCTAGAGAGTACAGATATTAACAAATTAGTACACACTACAATGCAAAATATATCTTGTACCAATACTCTATATTTCATACAAATTCTCCATGAATGTCAAAATTTTAAAAGGAGCTTTAAATAGAAATGAAAATGAAAATATAGTAAATTTATTACTTACACCTAGCCACAATTCCAGCAATAATTGGTATGCAGCTTTCATTTTCTTCTAACTTAGATTTGAGAAGAGCAGTTAATTGATCATAGCAGGTAAAATAAATAACTGTGGCAGGAACTGCCATCACTCTGTTAGAAATATACAAACAAAAAAACGTGTACAGAACTATCAAAAGGTTTAAACACATTCTTAAATATAAGCTAAAATACATATTTTGTATAAGTTGAAAACTACAAATCAGTCCACGAGAGCCATTTTCTTTTACTTTAAAAAATTATTAGTGTTTAACTTAGTAGGCAACAAAAAGATGTAAAGTAGATATCTGCCCTCCAGAAGTTTACATTCTAATTGTAAAGATAAGTTACAGAGCACTAGCTCAGGTCATAAATAGGATAAGACAATGAGGACACTTCTCTATCTCCTTGACTTGTTTTATCTGTTTCTGGTCTCTCAAATCTTCCTTCCCAATTACATTTACCATAACATGAAAATCCTTGAAGTAAAAAGTACAAGAGCAACTGTAAAATTCTTCTGAACTATGGACCATATATCATACCTGCTTATAACTGGAAATAAATTACAATTAATATCGCTGAAATTATATATACTAGTTTTGAGGAAATTTCAGTGACATACTCTTTCAAATGAAAATATCAAAAGGAAATTATTAATTAAACACAAAGTTGCAGGCATTATCATGTCATAAATATTAATACAACAAGAAACCAGTCTATGTTTATGGTCTAACTACAGGACATTCACAGACCATACTCTGGAATGCCTAACATTCTATTGTGAAGTTTAAAGATGAGAATTTAGGAATAGGATTGAGTGATAGTCTTGAATCTTCCACTAACTTTACAACTTTAAAATATATGCCTTGAAGTTGACTAATTTGCTTCATAAGAAGACAAATTAGAAAGAAACAAGGCAGAGAAAGGAAAGGTATTTGTTGAGATTTTTAGATTCAGCCTTACCAGTTTACCATATTAATTCATATAACTGCTAGGTAGTAGAAAATTAAATGTATCCAGTAAAGGGAAAATATACGTAAAACAGTATCTCTAATTATTTTAGTAAAATAAATGAAAAGTCAAATGAACACCAAATTCTTAACTTCTAAACAGAAAAAAAACCATAATGCTTGTGCACCAAAATCTTAACACAGCAGGGCTGGTTGCTCAAATCTTCTCTGTCTTTAGGAGGGCCTATTTACACGCTTGACCTCTGGCCAACTCCAAGGAGTTTAGCCCTTAGAATATTCCCTATAGTAAGGTTTTCTGCATGTCTGGAGCACTAAACCAACTTGTCTAGGTTTATTTGTACAAATGACGTGATTTTTTGGTAAATATCTGCTTTCCTTTTGGGGGTTTTGAGTTTTGGTAATCACTACTGGTCATGAAGACAGAATGTGCCTACGTCATCAAACACCGATAAAAGCCCTAGAGTCTGAAATTGAAGTGTGTTCTAAAGCAGAAACACTTTGCACATGCCACTGTAGGTTAAGGCTGGAAGAATAAGCATGTCTTATGTGATGCCATGAGGGAGGACTCTCGTGAAGCCTATGCCTAGTCAACTTCTGTTGTGTCTTTTTCCCTTACTGATTCCGCTTTGTATCTTTTTGCTTTAACAGACCACAGACATGAGTATAACATTCTTCAGGTCTGTGAGTCCTTCCAGCAAATCATGAAATGTGTGAGTCGTCGTGAAACTCACAAAACAATGCTTTAGAAAAAGAAAAAGTTCTAATATTAAAAATTTTGTCCAACCATGCTGATTATAAGGCAAAACAAAACAACCACCATCTTTTAGTAAGAAAAATATTAAATTTCAACTTACAAGGTAGGGGGAAGGCCACTCCACAGGGATTTAACACCCTCATTTCGAATGATTTTCAAAAAGGCATCCTAAAATAATAGAAAAAAGTTGTCAAAATATATACTGGAACATGATATACAAAAAATTTATAGTGATAATCAATCATTGGATTCTTTCAAGCATTTATTTCTAACATCTGAGCTTCTCAGACTTATATATGTTCATTCTTTTTTTTAAAAAAAGGAATTTTCCTCAACTTTCAAACACAAGTAAAGCATTTTTGGATGATACTTTCTGCTTACAGAATAAAATCTGTATTACACAGTTTTGGACTGTTCTACTTATGACTTAGAAACCAAGTTTTTCAAAGATTATTATAAAAAGGCAGTGGAATAATGGCAGAGAATTGGTTAGATTAACTTTCCTGACCAATTATGAAATCTGAGGGAATATTATTTAAACCCAGTATTTGAAATCTCTGGAGAGGAATCAAAAGCAGGCAGAAACTAGAGCAAGGTCTGCTGTTAAAAGACAAACTCCAATGAGTAAGCTTTGCAAGTTTCCAGCTTTCTGCCTGTGGCAGTGGCAAAGAACAGCACATCTACTTGCTTGAAATGGCAAACACAGAGTTCAGGCTAGCAGAATTATCAGAAAGGGAAGAAATTTTGGACAAAGGGCATAAAGTCTAAGATTTGCAAACAAAATCACCCACAAGACTCCACTAAATTATGCAATCCCAGGGGAAGACATCAGGGTCCTGGCCAAAAAAAAAAAAAGCAGCAGCTGAAGGCTGAGTGGAAATTTCAGCTGCAGCCCACCAGAGGAGAGCCTGAGTTTGGAGTTTGAATCTATCCAAAATTAACTGCCTTCTAGAACAAAACTGACTCTTCAGAAGAATATAAAAGATCCCGAGTCTTTATAATGTATCATGCATAATGTACACTATCCAACCTAGATTCACTAGACATAAAAACAAGAAAATGAGGTCACACTCAAAGAAAAAGTAGTCAACAGAAACCAACACTGAGATGATTTAGATGATGCTATTAGCAGACAAGAACTCTAAAGCAGCTATTACAAATATGCTCAAGAGCTTAAAAGATGATATATGAATAATGAAAAAACAAATTTGGAATTTCAGCAAGAAAACAGTTACTATAAAAAACAGCCAAATGAAAATTCTATACCTGAAATGAAGAATTCACTAAGTGGGCTTAACAGCAGAATGGAGACAGCAGAGAAAGAGTCACTGAACTTGAAGATAGACATTATTCAATCTGAAGAAGGGAGAGAAAAAGAATCAAGAAAAATGAACAGAGGCTCAGAGACCTGAGGGGAAATATCAAATGGTATAACATAGGTTTACTTGGAGTCAAAGAGGAAAGGAAACTGAATGGGACAGGAAATTACCTGATGAAATGATGGCAAAAAACCTTCCCAAATTAGTGAAAGATACCAACTTAGCCCCAAATCTCAAAAAATCCCAAATAGAATAAAAACAATGAAAACAAAAAAAGGAAAGAAAAATTACAAAATATATTTAGAGAAAGAATGATACAAATGAAGGTTAACTTCTCATCAGACACACGGGAGGCCAAAAGACAACGTAATGACATATTTAAGATGCTGAAAAAAATTAAGCCAAAATTCTATACGTGGCCAAAATATGCTTCAAGAACACTCAGTAGACATCTCAGATAAACAAAAAATTAGAATACATTGCCAAAATACCTGCAATAAAGAAATGCTGAAAAAAGTTTTCAGAATGAAGGGCCATGATGCCAAATAGTAACTATGATCTTCAAAAATGAAGCAAATACAGGAGAAATGGTAAATATGTGGGTACATATAAAACATATTTTCCCCCTTTCTCCTTTTAACTACTTTAAAAGACATAAGACTATTTAAATCAAAAATTATAACACTGAATTGTGGAATTTATAATGTACAAATATGTAGTATACGTGAAGCAATAGCACAACGGGAGATGGGGGAGTGAATGGTGTCAAGAACTGGGTAGGGTTTCAGATTTTGCCTACTTGCAAGTTAACAAGTCAGTCTGCCTCAGTCTCATGAGAGCTGACAGAAGACAAGAATATCTGATGAAGGACAGTTTATTACTTACAGCAATAGCAGTGGACAGAATATCACATTTTTGTGCCAATTCCCTGAGCCCCAATTTCAACAAGGCAATGTGAAGAAGGCTAGCTGACACCTGAACACACAGTGGATAGCATTACAGGAGAGGAAATCTGAGCTTAGGGAACCCAAATCCTTTATAAGGGGTAGTAAGGATACCTTCCCCTTTCTCTAGAGGGAAACATTGTATCTTCCAAGGTTATTCACTGTACAAACATCCTTGAAAAGATGGTCAGAAACAAAGGGCAGTCAGTACCTTGCTTACAAGATGTACAGAAATGTGAAATGCCTTTGGAGAACTGTCTCCCTAGAAATGGGAATAGAGGAATCAATACAACATTATTACAATTCAACTAATCCAAAAGAAGGCAGGAAAGGAGGAAAAACCCAAAAAACAAAAAGAGGGAGCAAGTAGAAAAGAAATACCAAGAAGGCAGACTAACACCTAACCATATTAAAAATTACATTAAAGGTAAGGACCAAATATTCCACTTAAATGTCAGCAATTGGGGGCTACCCTGTGGCCAAGTGGTTAGTTCGTGTGCTCCACTTAGCAGCTCAGAGTTTCACTGGTTAGGATCCTGGGTGCAGACATGGCACCGCTCATCAGGCCATGCTGAGGTGGCATCTCACATAGCACAACCAGAAGTACCTACACCTAGAATATACAACTATGTACTGGGGGCCTTCAGGGAGAAAAAGAAGGAAAAGACAAAAAAAGATTGGCAACAGATGTTAGCTCAGGTGCCAATCTTAAAAAAAAAGTCAGCAATTGTTAGAGAAGGTGAAAAAACAAGGCCTAACTACATGTTGTCTCTGAGTAAAAGAACGGAAAAAGATATACCACATAAACAGAAAGCTGGAGTAGCTATATTACTATCAGATAAAAGACTTCAAGATAATGAATATTACCAGTGATAAAGACAGACATTCCACTATAATAAAAATATATCAGAAAAACATATCAAGTGTAAATGTGTATGTTCCTAATAACAGGGCTTCAAAACCCAGGAAGCAAACTTGACACGACTAAAAGGGCAAACAGACACACACTCAATCATTATTGAAGATTTTTACATCTTCTCTCAGTGAATGATAGAACATTTAAAACAAAAGGTCAGTAAGAATTTAGAAAATCTAAATGAAACAAGTCACCCTGACCTATGGTCTATAGAACACTATACCCAACAATTACAGAACACAGGTTTTAAAGTGCATATAAAATATTCACCAAGATAGATCATATGTCGGGCCATTCAACAAGACTCAGTAAATTTCAACAATGTAAAAACATACAGAATATGTCCTCTGACTACAATGTAATTGAATTAGGAATCAGGAACAATAATATATCTAGAAAAAATCCAATTATTGGGAAATTAAATATTATACTTCTAAATAACCCAAAGCAAAAAAGGAAATTACAAGGGAAATTAGATATTTCAACTGATTGATAATGAAAACACAACTTCAAAATTTGTGGGATACAGCTAATTTAGTGCTCTGAAGGAAATTTATAGTTTTAAATGCTTAGTTGAGAAAAGGAGGCACTTAAAATCAATAACCCACGTTTCCACCCAAGAAAGTAGAAGAGAAAGACCAAAATAAACCCAAAGAAGAATTCTGCTTTCTGGTCCTACATGTGAAGAGATTGAAGTCATCACTCCCATCCTCACAACAAGAAAAAAGCTGAACAAACTGAAAAATCAACAACTCTTCTTAGATTCATCAGACAATTGAGATCACAGGGCAAACCTCTACCCTGAAAATTGAAGAGACAGTCGAAATCAGAGTCTCACAGCCTACCAGAATAGAAGCCTGCATTTGAAACTAGTATCAACAGGAACACTTTAAACTGTAACTGACAAACTGCTGGAAGCTCAGTGCAGACTAACTTAAGAAGTAATCAAAAACTGAGGTGCCTACTGCTGGTGGGAATGCAAAGAGGAGCAGCCACTATGGAAAAGATTATGGAGATTTCTCAAAAAACTAAAAATAGGAATACCATATGACCCAACTATCCCACTAGTGGGTATCTATTCAAAGAAATTGAAATCAACAATTCAAAGTGACTTATGCACCCCTATGTTCATTGCAGCATTATTCACAACATCCAAGACACGGAAGCAACCCAAGTGTTCATCACCTGATGACTGGATAAAGAAAATGTGGTATATATACAATGGAATGCTACTCAGCCATAAAAAAAGACAAAATCACCCCTTTTGCAACAACATGGATGGATCTTGAGAATATGACATTAAGCAAAATAAGCGAGCCAGAGAAAGACAAACACCAGATAATTTCACTCATATGTGAAGATAAACAAACACATGGACAAAGAAAACAGTTCAGTGGTTGCCAGGGGAAGGGGGCTGCAGGGGGTGGGCACAGGGGGTGAAGGGGAGCACTTATGTGGTGACGGACAAGTAATAATGTACAAGTGAAATCTCACAATGTTGTAAACTATTATGATCACAATAAAAAAAGAAAAGACCCTGAGGTGCCTTTTGTAGGAGGGCCCCCTCACACTTTCATGATTTTTAGCTCCATCAGCCCTACCAAATTTTCACTGTGAAGATCAAAGAAAAATCCCCTCTTGTTTCAATCAGGGGAAGGGGCAAAGTAACCACTTGGAAATAAATCCAAAACCTCTGTTCTCCTTAACAAAGCCTATACTCAAGGGAAACTATTTTACCAGAGCCTAAACCACTGGGGTTTTACCAAAACCTAACCAGCTTGGGGTAAGGGAAATATCCAACTCATGCTCATTAAAAAAGACTACAGAATGTTTCCCTTCTTCCACATCTTACCACCACATCAACAGGGCTCCTGTAAAACAAGAGAGGATGACAGCTAAAAGAACTGAAGCCTCAGACTCTATTCGAGGAGTCTCTAGGAAAACCCAAAGACAACAGGCAAGACGAACTGGGACACTAGAGGAAATTTT